CAGGAATGATGAACTACTCTTTCTGAACTTGATGCTGATACCATGTATATGTGGAAATAGGCTAACTTTTAGAAACAAGATTATTAAGAAGATTGTGCTAACCAACATTTCCCACTGTAAGGGAATTATGATGGTGCCACTCATGAGATATCCTTAAGTTTTTATTTGAAAACTAGTTTTCCCACAATAACTGTAAGGAGGGAGGGGGGAGGCAAATGCACCAGAAGGAAGGAAGATGGAGATGATAAGAAGCAGAATTTTATGATACGTCGATGATATTTGAAAGAAAACTTCTGGCTCACTTCAGAAGCTGTTCTCACAAACAGAAAAATAAACACAAAGCTTCCTTTCTCACAGAAGATTGATTTCACTCCCAGAATTACTATAGAAACACACAAGCACCTTAAATAATTGCCTTGGAAAATCCATATTGTGCGAGACAGTGAAACCATAATGCATCGTGGATTGTGCATGAGAAAGAAAATGCTGATTGTGAAAGATTTCCCTTGCTTAGATAATTTTCTTTCAACTTTTAAATGTAACTTACAAAAGAAAGTTTGATTCATCTATGTTTGATCATGTAAAATTTAGAAAAATGTTATCCAAATGCTCAAATCTCTTGCAGCAAAATTTTTTCTTAACATCTATATTTTCATGAACTCTGATGAGATTATTGCAGCTTTGAAGAAAATGGTTGTTGCATTAAGTTGCAAGGAAACCAACTTGTGATGTGCTTAATTTCATTATGCATGAGCAACTCCCTTGTATTTACACATCTCCCTGTCACTATTTTTTTTGAACTAGAAATGTTTGCCCACTCATTTTTCTCCGTTACTCTTTTTTTTTCCTGTAAAGTTAATTGGTTTGTTAAATACAAAAGCTAGAAACATTGGTGATGTGATTTCATGAAGAAGGTAACTACTGCTTCCAAAAGAAATAATTGAACCCAAAATAATGAAATTCGGTACATCATGGGCTGTTCATTAAGTGTGTAGGTATTATTTAGGGAGTTTCATTTACATGCAAATATGAAACTAATGGAGCAAACTCATGGGGCAAATTGCTTGCCTAAATCAAAGGTGCATAGGTGGTTTTATATAGCCTTCCCTTGTAAAAAGATTAGAAAGTGGTATTTTTCCTTTAAGCAACAATTCTATAAAATTTTATATCCTCAAAATTAGCATCAATTTCAAATATTTCTGGTTAATATTGGAGGTCACCATTTCACTGAAATGGAATTTTTATTTCTATTGTGACAGTAGGCTGACATAACAAAAGCAGACATATGGTTAGAAAAAAGCCAAAACACCATTCATTCTACACCACCTTTAACTGAACATGAAACATTTGTAACAAAGTTTGTAGCTTAGGATGTTCAGATCTAGTGCATTTCATCTCCTATCAGGATCAAACTTATCTCACAGTGTTAAATGTGGACTGCTTGGATTATGAATTGCGATATCAGTAACTTGATGCTCTTTTAGTTATTTGATTGTCTAAGGATTTTTTAGGAGAACTATAAGTGCCTGAGGAGAAGTTGGTACTTTATTTACCTGAAAGAAACCCTTGAAAATGGTAATATATGAGACATCTTGAGGAAGGCTTAGCAGAAGCTACTTAAAGGTGGCTTGAAATTATGTTTTATGGTCTGAGTTTCTCCATGTATTAGGATGATTTATCTAATATAGTGCTGCTGGAGATAAGATAAAACATTTGCAATATTGAAACATATTTCTTATCTGATATGTTTGCCTTTCTGTGGGTGAGTTTTAACATCTTTTCGAATTCACATGATAGAGGATTGCTGGTTTAATTGGATAGATATGTGAGATTAGTGAAGCTTTAGCTGTACACTGCATGTATGAACGCAATTCTCCTCTTCTCAAACTCGTTCCCAACAGCCTTCTTTTTTCTGCATTCCCTTTTGTATTTATGCTGTATTCTTAAAACAAATTACAAGCTAAGTTTGAAGGTCAAGGGAACTTGGTGTTCCAATTTGGAGGGTTCATGGTACAGCAATCAGATTGTTAGAACCTAGAGATGTAATCATATCACTTGAATAAAATATGCTTGTAAAAGGTTTTGTGCTATGCTGTGGTCTTTATTTTCTATGGGCTATCTAGAATATCAAATGATCTATTTCTTCTCTAGTGTTCTTTTGTGTGGAATTAGCATTGTTTGTATTAACATAGTACACTTGAGATGTAAACGACACATTAACATGAGAATTGAAAAGGAGATAAGAAATTGAGAATCATATTTTGAGTTTTCCGGAGAAATAGCTGGAATTCTCCCAATGTAAGATGCCTCAACCATTCAATGACAATTAACTCCTGATTGAAGCTTTTCCAGCTAGAGTTAAAAGGAAATTACTCCTGGAATTAGGATAGTTTCCTCTAGATGTTCATTAGTGAGATCCTAAGATATGAATTTCTTTTGGGAAGACAATGGAAACTCTCCATTTCCTTGAATGACTTATTTAGGATGTGATAGTTCAAGGTTACTATCGTCAACACCATTGGTGTTGTGCTGTGCTTGGTTGCTAACTTGGTGCAGGATTGGGACAGATTGCCTAATAGCTAACATCAGTTACGTAGGGAACCAAGTGATTACCAGGCAGGGCTATGTGAAAACCACTCAAGTTCTGTTAACTTAGAATTCTCATGATTGCAAGATCCCTCAAGTTTGAGTTTGCTACTTCATCTACAAGCATGATAATGCCCTTATAATGCGCTGTTATGGTTGCTTTTAATACTGTGCCATCACATCTCAGTTATCACATCTCATCATATTTGATTAGCATGGTTATTTTTCCAGATGCAAGCTGCAAGACACCTTTAAACCTTATAGGTGTCTTGTGCTTGCTTCTCTTTTGTTTCTTACATTTCTTATCAGCATTAGGCAGATAGCTAACCTGAACTATCGACTGTGTCTATCTGTAGCTAGTTATATGCATGTCGTCAGACAGGAAAGATCACTATCATTTTTGTAATTGAGGAGAAAGATATTTTAGGAAGTCTTGGTACAAACAGCTGTGCTCCCAAACCCCTAAAACTACAACAACAAAAAATTATTTTAATTTGTATCTGGCTAAAAATAACTATAACAGATGTGGTGATTGATAATCCTTAATAGCACTTCAAATTGACCTGAATTTTAGTTGACACTAAATCAATGTTCTCTAACCATCACAATGTTCCAAGTTCAATGAATGTTTTTACTCTAAAATCAGGTCTTTGTGAATAATAAAACCTGTCATTTTCTTCATTGTCTCTATGTTGGAAATTTATGTGCATTAACCTGTTGCAACTGATCTTTTAATCAGTGCATGGTATGGAGTATGGCTTCGGAGCCCATGAGTACCCAACCAGTGGGGTGTTTGAGGTGGAACCAAGAAGTTGTCCAGGCTTCATTTTTCGACGGTCTGTGTTATTGGGCAGCACCAACATGTCTCGTTCAGAATTTCGGTCATTCATGGAACATCTTTCTGCAGAATATCATGGAGACACCTACCATTTGATTGCCAAGAATTGCAACCACTTTACTGATGAAGTCTGTAAGCGATTAATTGGAAAGCCTATTCCTGGATGGATAAATCGAATGGCTCGATTAGGTTAGTCGCATATCATGTTATATGAGAAGCTACTTTCTAGTTCACTGGAGATCTTCTAGGCCTAGTACTCTGCACCCAAAAGCGACCACTTATTTTCATAAAAAAAAAAAGTGAGCAATTTTAAATGTGACTCTTTGTTGGAATATGTGTCAGACCTGGATCCAGAATTTGTGGCCAATGTTTGAGTGTTATCAATAACTGTGAATAACCAGCATTGCTTTGTATTTTTGTAAATAATATATGAGTTATATGGTGGTTTCAAATGTCGCACCAGCCAAGCTGCTTAGTTTATCATCTCTGTGTTTTTGGATTTTGTGGTCCCGTTCTAATATTTCCCTGTCTGATCGAGGAGCTTTTATTTGAGGTTTCAGGCTCTTTCTGTAATTGTTTACTGCCAGAAAGCATACAGATCACAGCAGTTAGACATCTTCCTGATCATCCAACATATTCTGGTAATTTTCTTCCATTATTCATGTTTCTTCCCTTTATTAGTTCAAGATCCGCACGTGAATTTATCTTACTGGGTGTCCAAGTTGATGAAGGCATTATTTAAAGTTGTATTCCTCAACAAAGCGAATTGACTCTGTATTCTTGATCACTTCTTTTTCTGGTAGAACTGGGATCAAAACCCAAGAAAAAACCTAATAGTTAGATGTGACATAGAGGTAGAGCCACCCAAATACATCCTGGTAAAATAAATCAGAACGATCCCAGGAGCATTTCTTTGTTAATAATGCTGATAATGGATCATAATAAGAATGAATGAGCACAATGCTTGAACAAAGAAAATATGCGGTTTAACTGCCAGCAGGCTGCAGATTGCTCTAGCCATATCACTAGTTGTGACTTTTTTTTTAGCTGATGAATCATGGATATTAGGAGGTTTACCGTGCATGGCTTTCTTAATTATTCTACCTGAATAGGTGGCCATTAATGTATAGAACTATATAGGTATCAGGTTGGGAATCCATTTTCATTCAATTGACTGAGCTCTAAGATTTCCCATCAATGAATGCTCTGATTGTTAAGAAGGGGTATTGCTCTTCTACGTCAGTATGTGCATGCAGAGTCCAGAGGGGACGTCTGCGCGTGGTTGTTTGGTACTCTGATGGATATATGTTTTCTTACCTTTGTCCCAATGCCAATGCAGATGATGATGATGATGTTGGATTGGAATCTGTTGCGTCATCTATGACAGCAGGGAGTGAAGAAGAGGGTTCAAATCATCATCTGCTCACTGCACCAAATGGTGAAGTTGCATTTTTAAAGGAGAAACCAGTGAGGCTAGCAAAGGAACTCCTATAGGGTTTGTCCTGCAATTCCTATTCTTTCTATCTTGAATCTTTCTATTGTTTGTACTTTAGTGTATGATCTTGGTAGACCGGAGAATGGGTCTTGGCTGAATTATGAGTACTTTAGTGTATGTGTCCTGGCATGTGACGATCTTGCTTCAGACTTCTCTAGTGCCTGTGATTTTTCTAATGGTATGGCTATTCCTCAGCATCTTGCACCAAAACAACTCATGCACTATCATAGTATACAACCCCCAATGGGCTGCTGGTATATGATATCAGCTTCCAAAGAAGCTCGCATTGGTTGTTCATAAATTGTGACTGTTGGATTACCCAAATGTTTTTTTTTTTGGCTTTGGCAAGTTTTAAGTTGGAACTGACATGAAAAATGATGCAAGTGAAAATGTCATGTTCAGCTGATATAATAGAATGTAAATCTAACGAGTGATTCGATGAACCATTCTATTACTTTGTATGGTCGAATTTGATTTTTTTTTTAAATTATTATTATTATCAGAATTTTTTAGTTTATATTAGTTCACAGGCTAACTCAACATCACGGGTCCAAGTTTAAAAAAACATATCACAAAATATTTAGTAAAGAAATATTTAATGTTATTATTAAACCTAGTTTAACGGGTCAACATTAAAGCCTTTCAATCTAACTTTGGTTTAGTTTATATATAAGATTAAATTGTATGAAAGTTGATTTGACATGATTTATTTAATTTGATTTGTCTAAAAGCAACTTAGTAAAAGAATAAAATTGAGAAAAAAAAATAAAATTAAAAAAAAAGAATTTAGTGAATTTTTTGCCTAATTTATAATAATTACATTATATGAGAGTTTTTTTAATATAACTAGTTAATTTGACCAATTAAAAAACTTGGTTGGATGTGAAAAAAGTATACGCATGAGATATGGAATACAAATAATTAAATTAAAAGAAAAAATTTACCAAGAACAAGTTTAAAATTAAATTAATTAAGAGTGTTTAGACCAGTTTTAAGCTATACCATGTCATTGCTCACAGTATAATATGGGTTGGATTAAATATTTTTTTAATATAAAAAATATTTAAATATTGTTATTATACTTTTACAACTATATAAAAATTAATCTGATATAACCTAATCAAGTTTGCGTAACATGAATTTCATGTCAGTGAAGAGAGCTCCACACCGAAACCATTATTTAGTCAATTATTTAAGGAACCATCCCTTCCGTAATTTAATAAACATTAATAAATGGAAGTTTTATTTCAGTTTCTCAACACCCACCAGGGAATCTGGACCAGTGATCTGTCTTTACTTGGCAAGAGCATGCCCGAGTCATTTACGGTCCAATTGTCAACTCTCCTCTCCCTGCAAGGGACAGCAATTGCCACCATCTAGGTGGTGGCCAAGTGATAAGGATTTGAAATTAAGGAGTTTGTTCTCTCTGTGATCTCAGGTTCGAGTCCTTGGTTGCTCATATGATGACCACTGGAGGCTTACATGGTCGTTAACTTCAGGGCTCGTGGGATTAGTCATGGTGCGCGTAATCTGACCCGAACACCCACGTTAATCTAAAAAAAAAAAAGACAGCAATTGCCGGCTTATAATATAGAACAGATGATGAGAATATCCATTCAAGTGAGACAGAAGGTAAAACTGATGGTGGAGATGATGTTTTTCGTTTTGTGCTTTGTAAATTTTTTATGAATCCTAATTACTTTTAATTAGATTAGATGTGATTTTCATAAAAAAAAAAAATTTCTCTTTAAAATTAATGGACAAATAAAATTAAGCTTTGCCTAAAGAAATGCATTTTTTCCCTTGCTTAATTTAAATTATTTGAGTTTTGACATATATTTTTTTTAATGGATATAATTTCTTATTAATAAAAATCATAGATCCATGAAAATAAAAATTATTAATAATCAAAAGAAATATTAACAAGAACAAAAAAAAAAATTTAAAAATAGATTATTAAAGTTTTTATGATCATTTATTTTAATTATCATAAAAATAAAAATAAAAAAATCAATTCATCTTAAATCTTAAATAGATAAGTTTTAGCCATTCCATGATAAATGAGAGAAACAACTGAGGTAAATTTTTTGCTTGTGCCTAGATCTTTTGTTTTTTACTAGGAAAATCAATTTTCTTTGTTAATCTCTAATCAGTATTAATAACTTTTTTTTTAACCATTAAAAGCATCACTTTACAAATAAGATTTAAGTTTTTTTATGGTGATATTATTAATTAATCTATAAAAACATTTATATAAATTCTCATGATCACATGATTAAATAAATTCTCAAATATTTTTTTTTATAATTTAGATAGTTGAAATTATTTAAATTATAAATTCTCATTATCATAAAATTAAATAAACATAGATTTTGGAAAGCAATAAAAAATTTTTAACGTCTAACCCATAACTAATGCTCTTTTTTTTTTCTTTCCATTAGACCACTAATTTAACTCATTTACCTTTCGCTATGAAATTGCTTAAATTTTATCAAAGACTATATTAATCACCTGTGATATGTTATGAGCCAGACTAAACAAATTTTGTGTTAAAAACAAAAAATGTTTGCACATTGTTATTATATTTTCTAGCAAGAGAAATCCAAGGCTTGACTTGTTTTATTTAATTATATGATAATAAAAATAAATAATTATAATAAATTAATGAAATTAAACAAAAAAAATTATGAGGACGTGCATAAAAATAATACTTGCCAATAAAAAGATTTTTATAATTTTACTTGATAACAAATAAAAATTAAATTAAATTAAATAATATTCAAAAAATATTTTTAATTAATCTAAGAATATAAAAATATTCCAATCAATAAAATATTAAAAAGTAAAATTACAAAAAGCATGTTCAATTTTAGAAAAATCACCTGTAAAAAATAATCCGATTCAACTTGGATTAACCTATTAAACATACGATTCTGATTATGAGAATGAGATATCTCATAGAAATTAAATTAAAAAATTATAAAGTCTAATTCTCAATTAACTCAATGTTGAATAATATAATTAAATAAAAAATAATTTAAAAGGATTAAAAAATAACTCGAATTAATATAGATTAATTATTAAATATACAATCTGATCTATGAGACTCAGATAACCCTATAAAAAATAAATTAAAATAAATATAAAATTTTATTTCCAAATAATCCAATATAAAAAGCTCAATTTCCAAACAAATAAATATAAAAGGATGAAATAAAAAAAATAAAAAAATAAAAAAATAATTTAAATAAACTTGGATTAACCTATCAAATTTATAACCCAACTTATGATAGCTGGGTATAAAAAAAAAATACGAAACTCAATTTTTAACTAATTTAATATTAAAAATAAAATTAAAAAAATATTACTAAAAATAATAATAAAAAAATAAAAATCGAATTAGACATATCGAGAGAGTTAGGCATGAAACCAATGATAGGATAAAAAAAGAGAGAAAAAGAATGGCCTCCTGAAGCTCATTTACCAACAGGCGTCGTCTCATAAGAAAGCCACCACTGAGACGCTTCAAATGACAACGAGAAAGACGCTCCTCGTATCTCGAAAAAAGACACGTGCTAACTCATTGCAGTGGCTATCCCCACATGTGTGCATATGTGTTATGCATGCCAAATTAGTTTTCCCTTTTAGTCCCCTGGTATGGATAAAAAAGTGGTTGGAAATTTGTTAATGTTTCAATTTGGTCCTTAAAGTCTAGATTATTTTGAATCAACAAAATTGAATATGATTTTGTTAAACTAAGCATTAATATTCCCCATACCTTAAATAGTATCAATTTTATTTTACAAAAAAAGAAGTCAAATAAAAAAAAACAAATAACGCAATGCAATATTACAATTCACGGTGCATTGTAAGTGAGGTTATAGTTTTAACTATGAGATATTTTAGTTTTTTTTTTTAATTTCAATTAATTAATAATGTTCAGAATCTCACGAAGAAGTCGAAATTTACGTAAATGATAACAAAATACACTGTTTAGAGTCTTACAAATTGGGAGAAAGAAAAATTTGTGAAGAGCATGAGCCCAATGGTCAAAATCACGTAAATGTTGGCGAAATACAATGAAAAGTCATCTTCTTGCGGAAAGACCCACAAGTGAAGTCTTCCAAAGGATAGAAGAAGACAAGTGGAAGGCAGCAGAAAGTGATTTGCAGTAAATGATTTTGAAATTCTGCATTCATCACCATCAAGACTACGTAAAAGAGGGGCCACTGGCTAGATTTTAGATCACCAAACGCTGGAGCTACTATCTTGTTTCCATGCCCTGATTTATTAGTTGGGTCCCAAGCAACCTCTTCAACTCCCCTTGCAGCCCGTCTTGCTTTTTGTAAAGAAAATATTCCTGCACCAAAAGCAGGGGAGCATAAAAAGTAGAAAGTAAATAAACCCAATAATTCAATCATGTTACTTAGATTTTGTTTAGGGTGTCCTACACTTTCTAATTTTCTTCTTAACCTTTCCATAACCTCAGAATAGTTCTTTGGTAGGTAGGAAAGTCTTCTAGAAAAGTGCTGCGTGCGTGGGCAAATTAAAAGTAAGTTGTTTCCAGGTAGTTTTCCCAACATTTACGAGTTGGAAACAAACTTTATGATACTTTCTTTCCATCTTGTTTGTATTCCGATGGGAAAAGAAGAATATTTCTTTCCATCTTGTATAGCTTCCATTGGGAGAAGTTACCAGGAAACAAGTTTCTTGGAAGGCAATTAACTTATATAGTGAGGAGTACGTATTTTCTTGATAGGCTAACATTTCGACTAAATCTATATGAAAGGATTTTCTTTATTTACATTTCAATCAGACAAGGTTGATGTGCAAGATCTTTCTATGTGACTCGTATAGGGGAGAAACCAGAACCAGCCAAACTGTTGTCTCCTTGTTATTACAAACAATGGATGCTTTTATGTTCTTCACTCTCTTCTCCTCCATGTTTCTAACCATAAATGCTTTTGAATCCAAATGTCCAATGGTTAAGTGCAGTCGCGGCGGTCCTGATATCCGTTTCCCATTCCGAGCATTAGGCCAACAACCCCAGCACTGTGGTAATCCTGGTTTCGAACTTGTTTGCAGAGATAACACCACCATGATTCATTTCCCAACTTATGGACCATTGGTTGTGAAATCCATCTCTTATGATATCAGAAAACTCAGTCTTCTTGACCCCAAAAGTTGTGTCCATGAAGTCTTTCTTAATCTTAACCTCTCTGGTACACCTTTCCAGTATTACTATCTTTTGAAGAACTTTATATACCTCAACTGCTCAGCCAGGCTTTCGCCTTCTTTCGATGAAGTTTCATGCTTGAGTGGTTCCAGACATCATGTTTACACAGTTGAATCTTCGTTGCCCATTCCAGTTTCTTGCAGACCATTGAAAGCTATTCCCATTCCATTTGCATACAGTCCTTATCTTGCTGATAATAGTTTTGGCCTTGGATTAACTTGGAGTTTGCCTGGGCGCAAAGATTTTGAAGAACAAGGAGGCTCATGTGTGTTCCAGTCCAAAGCAGGACCTAAATCAGGCTGTCCCAACATAACACTGGATAAAGGTAAAGTCATAATCTTCCGTTAGCCCTTGGATCACTGTTAGCTACTAGTCATTGCCCAATGGTGTTGCTAAGAGTTTACTAATCTGATGCCTGGAACAAGTTGATCAAATTGACAATGACTTTGAATTGTAAACAAGACTAGGAAAAGTCGTCTGGGTATTTCATGAAGTTTCCTTCCGGGTACCAGAGAGAGCATTCATTTTCTAAAATATCATAGCAGTGGTCCATCTTTCCCGTACTTGGGAATTTTTAACAAGCATCCACACACATTTTTCACAATTATGAGTCTACTTATTTCTTTTTCATTATTGAGAAATAAAATCCTTATGTTTTGTTGTTGTTCACTTAGGTCCTCTGCTGCCCAATTCAGAAGCAACTCATATACATAATTTGATATGGAGATCAGTTTAACATTGAGATCTTACTTTTGCAGGTTTTTCAATTGTGCATGTATTGTCAGGTGAAGCTGTGTCTATGATCTTGAACATTCTGCTATGTATTTTTGCGGTGACAACAATGATGATAAGCATAAAAATCTGTAACTCGAAGAAGGTTGATGAACAGACTGAAAATGAGAATCTTCTGGAGGAAGTATCCAACTGAATGATCTGCTCCCCTACATACTCGAGACAACTTCTAAAGATTGAGATTTCAGAAGGTTATTATTAACAGTGGTGGAGCTCTGTTGTTACGTCTTCTAGGAGAACAGGCTTACCATGATATGCTTGTAAAATGAAAACACTAGCCATCACTAGGCAAGCAGATTCTGTACTATCAAGTCCTGAATCTTGTTAGAAATAGTCTACAGTGGAATATTGTAGTGGAAACCAGAAGGAAAAGACTAGGATAATATTTTTTTTCTCTTAAAATATGATGCTTAAGAATTCTATTTTTTTTTCACTTGCATTAGTTGTTTCGTTTTGTAAGATTTATGATATGGAAAAGATAAAATATTATGAAATCCAAATCACAGTGTCCTTTCAAAATAGCCATCAGAATCTCTCTTATTCTCTTTCATTTTTCTACCTTTTTGTCTAGATAACATATCACATCAAGATTATCATTTTTGTTTTACAGGTTTCTCTGTTGAAGTTGACATGGAAATTCCACTTCTATGATCACAGTGAATAGGTTCTTAAAACATGCTTGCTTACGATAATAATAAAGATATATTCTTCTCCTTGATCTGAAACCATTTTTCCATAATGAAGGAATGAAAGCAGGAAAAAGAAAAACCTGATGGAACTGGAATCCCTCCCTTGCTGGCTCATAATCCAAGATTGTAACTGTATACAATAAATTGTCTTAAATCAGACGAGTATTTTGGCTAGTGAGAGCTAGAGGGATTATATATTTTGCATCCAGTCTAAAGCAGACTGTCAGCTGCAGGCTTCCATTTCAGTACCAAAGCATCACTGAAGCACTGCTTCATTATATCTGTTGTTTCAGTATTGATGTATGTTATATAATGCTCACGTTGTTGCTCGATTGTCTCTATTTCTTTTCATAGTTACTCGATCTCTTAAGAAATCCTTCTTGTGATATAATATTAGCCTGTTCCTCTGCAAACTTTACGGCTTCAAGACCAAAATCGCTTTAAATGATGTTTCATGAACTGAATTTTGAAGCCACCGACAATTTCCACTAATTTTATGCACTTCCACCATATTTGACAAACAAGTCTCTCATCATAGGGATAAACAATCGAGGGATCATGAAATCCCCATTGAGAAGGTTCGAAATCCTCAAAGATAAGTAAGCTTCCAAGTTATGGGTGAGATGGCTGAAGATCTTGCCGACAAATGATGTTGTTGAAGCTGTAAATCTGTAAAATCATTCCCCTTGGAAGAAGGTTTTGGAAACCTTCCGATATCCAAGTTAGTGGTTATGAGCTACCTAAATTGATTTCAATCAACTTTAATTTGAGGGAAACTTTAAAATATCTTTTTATTTAAAATATCTTTTAGCTTTTATACCTAGTAAAGGTGACCTTGTACATAAAATGGTTTTGCTTTTATATTTATAAAATATTTTTTTATTTAAAAATCTTTTAGCTTTTATACCTAATAAAGGTAACTCTTATACATAAAAAGATTTTACTTTTATATTTAGACAAGATAGTTGTTTATAGCTAAAGGGTTCAATATTTAGTTAAAAGAATATAAAATAATTTCATGAAAGCCAATATGTTATTAATGTTTTGTAACTTTTATGTTATTGCAATTTATTAGTTGTATAGTTTAAAATAATCAAAGTAATTTTATGTCTAGGGTAAGATCTTCCCCTCTCTATCATGTAACTATTACTTGTTAGTCTTGGTGAAACTAATAACCTTGTAAAATTCATCTTATTAGAGTGCTAAATTTCCATTTTCTTTTGCATATTTTGTTGTTTAAAGCTTTCTTAGAATGAAGTTTTTAAATTCGAAGAATCTATTTTTTTAATTGAGCATGAAATTCCTATAATAAAGATTATTTTTTCCTTTTTTCCCCCAACTAGTAGCACTAATATCTTCTACTACTAATTAAATATAGAAGACTCTTTATTATTTAAAATGACCCTACATTCATATACTAACAATTATGAGTCAATATGCACTTATAAATAATCGGTAGCTAAAATTTTTTCTAAGTTAAGGTTGGCTTATAGAATTATATATCTATATTGTTGAGTAAATAAAACTTGAAACACAATCCATACTCAATGGTACGTTCTTCAAGGCTAATTAGCACAATTCTAATTCCATGCCAATTTTCATTATATTAGTCAAACTAGTCATGGTACATCATCTCTCAAATAAAATTTTCTCAGAAGAGCTTATTAATTTCCTTAAATATTGTTCTTTGTCTATCCCTTTTAAAATTCTTTTTTTCTAACAAAAAAAGATGAATGAAGGTTTTGTGTTCAATTTATGGGTAGTCACATTGAGTTTAATACTAGGCATATATAAGGGCTTGAATGTAAGATTATCACTTTAAATTATAAAGATTTTTGCAAGGATTTTATAAGTCCTAATTCAGTGACTATGCTAGTTCATTTTTTAAGAGGTTGTCTTCCTGTAACTCTTTCTCAATCTTCATATATATTTTCTTCTTTTCCTTCAGGTAACTCTTTTGTTTCTTCTTAAACATATCATTTTACTTTCTAAGACAAATAAATATGGACATCTTTGATGCCAATTAGTTCTTCTTATTATGCCTATTTGTTTTTAAGAAGAATGTCATTGCTAAATATATGGTGA